ACCCAGGCTGGAGTGCAGTGGCCCGATCATAGCTCACTGCAGCCTCAAACTCCTGGGCTCAAGCAATCCTTCTGTCTCAGCCTCCCAAAGTGTTGGAATTACAGGCGTGAATCAGACACCTGGCCTGATTTTGAATACATTTTGCCTTGCCAATGAACTAAACACCTTTAGCATCTGATCTGGCCTGCCTTTCTTCTTCCTTCTTATCACTTTAGGTGTTTCTTCGATTCCCTGCCATTCTGTTGGTTTGCTCTTTGGTTTGGTGAGTTGAAGATATCTTCTATGGCTTCAAATATCACTTCCTTCTCCTGAGCAACATAGCAAGACCCCATCTCTACAAAAATAAAAATAAAATAATTAGCTGAGCTTTGTGGCACGTGCCTGTAGTCCCAGCTACTCAGGAGCATGAGGTAGGAGGACTGCTTGAGCCCAGGAAGTCGAGATTGCAGTGAGCCATGATCATGCCGCTGCAGTCCAGCCTGGGCGACAGAGTGAGTCCCTGTGTCAAAAATAAAATGGAGGAAATGGATCATGGGAAGGCCAAGACACCATTGTCCTCTCCAATATAGCGGTCAGAGCTCAATGAGTTGAAAAGTGAGCTCTTTGCCTTCCCCTCCAAACTTCCCCTCCCAATTTCTGCCATCGTTTAAGGGCCACGTCATTCTCTACCAGTCACCCAAACTCAAAACTCTTCCACTCGTCAAGTCCTAATGATTCTTTCTTCAAAACACTTCTCACATCTACAGACAGTATGAAAATAGAAGCGGCACAGGTAACCTGTAAGTAGTAACTTACAGCCTTCATTGGTGTTTCCTTCTTAGGAGGGGGAGAAAGATAGACCGTAAGCAAATAAACAGGTCCATATAGGGATGTGAAATGCTGGTACTTAACCTGGAGAACAAACAGGATAAGGGAGAAGAGATGAAGAAGAATCAGAGCGAGGGATGGGGATGTTATGGGTATGTCCATCGGAGACATGGTGTTGGGGGTGGGCAGACATCCTGAGCAGTAGGTGTATTTTTTTTTTTTTTTTTGAGATGGGGCCTTGCTATGTTGCCCACTCTGTCTTGAATTCCTGGGCTCAAGCGATCTTCCCAGCTAAACCTCTCAAATTGCTGGATTACAGGTGTGAGCCACTGTGCCTGGCCAAGGCAGTAGGTGTTCAATGGTTGCGTCAGAAATCACTAAAGTCCTGGGCTTGAGATTTTCGTTTTCCTGGGTTAATTCTGCTAGGAATTTATTGAGCGTTTACAGCGTGTGGGCCCTGTGCTGGAAGCTTCTCATTGATCCTGAGGACTCCTGTTTTACAGCTGAGGAAGTCCAAGCTCTGGAGGATTAAATGAACAGCCCAGAGACCCCCAGCAAGGATTTGAACCCAAGTGGGGCCGTGCAAAGCTAGTACTTTTAGCCATTGTACTATGAAAACAATATAAATTACTGATCTCTGATTGCCCTGTAGATGTTTCTGAAATAGTCTTTTACTTATTTGTTTTGAAACAGTATCTCACTCTGTTGCCCAGGCTGGAGTATAGTGAAGCAAACTTGGCTTACTATAACCTCTGCCTCCTGGGTTCAAGTGATTCTCGTGCCTCAGCCTCCTGAGTAACTGGGATTACAGGTACACACCACCGTGCCTGGCTAATTCTTTTGTATTTTTAGTAGAGACAGAGTTTCGCCATGTTGGCCAGGCTTGTCTTGAACTCCTGATCTCAGGTGATCCGCCCGCCTCAGCCTCCCAAAGTGCTGTGATTACAAGCGTGGGCTACCACACCTGGCCTGAAACAGTCTTTTAACTAGCTTTTTACTTTGTAATAATTGTAGATTTACGGAAAAGCTGCAAGGATAGCACAGAGAGTGCCCGTATGCCTTCCATTCAGCTCCCCCTAATGTTAACATCTTAGATAACCTCGATATGTTTGTCAAAACCACAAAATTAGGCCCAGCGCAGTGGCTCATATCTGTAATCCCGACAGTGGGAGCCTGAGGTGGGAGGATTGCTTGAGCCTTGGAGTTCAAGATCAGCCTGGGCAACATAGTGGAGCTCATCTCTACAAGAAGTTAAGAAATTAGCCAGGGATCGAGCACCTGTAGTCCTAGCTACTTGAGAGGCTGAGACAGGAGGATCACTTGAGCCCAGGAGGTCAAGGCTGGAGTGAGCCATGATCACACCACTGCACTCCAGCCAGGGTGAGAGCACCTACAAAATTAACATTGCTATAATGCTATTAACTAAACTTTAGACTTGGTTTGGACTTAGATTTCTCCAGTTGTTCCACTAATGTCGTTTTTCCACTCCGGAATCCAATCCAAAATACAACATTGCCTTTAATGAAGCAGTTTTTAAATTGTATTGTGAAGTTATTTTTCACCACCAACCACCCCACCAAATTTTTTAAATCAATACTTAAAAATGGCTGGGTGCGGTGGCTCAGGCCTGTAATCTCAGCACTTTTGGAGGCAAAGGCAGTTGGATCACTTGAGGTCAGGAGCTTGAGACCAGCCTCGCCAATGTGGCAAGACCCTGTCTCTACTAAAAATGCAATAATTAGTTGGGTGTGTTGGCACATGCCTGTAGTCCCAGTTGCTCAGGAGGCTGAGGCAGGAGAATCACTTAAACCCAGAAGGCGGAGGTTGCAGTGAGCCGAGATCACGCCACTGCATTCCAGCCGGGATGACAGAGCAAGACTCTGTCTCAAAAAAAAAACAACAAAACAACTACTTAAAAATCAGTGAAAATGTGCCAGTCCTAGTCCTGTTAGTCTTACACTGATTTTTGCCCTGACCCTGCCCTGTCCCTGCCTGCTCATAGGCTGCTGCCTGCAGTTCCATCGCTAAGGCTCCCTTATCAGTTGGTTTCCTGCTGGTTCTGGCCAAGGGCAGGAGAAAGAGAGGAAGCAGGGTATTTCTCCGCCCCCACAGCCCCCCTCTTTGACCTACATTTCCAGCAATGTCTCTAGCTCCTCTGGGAACTGATGGCTGTGGCTCAAGCTTCCCCTGGGTGACCCTGAGCCCCAGGATCACCACCTATTCCTGTGGCGGCTTCCCACCATTGACAACTGCGGGATGGCTTTATCTTCCCCTGGTTGACCTCTCAACTCTCCCATCACTGACATAACCAGTCTCTGGTTTTAAATCCTTATAATGGCGTCTATTGTCCTGGTGGTCCCTGCCTGGCACAGGTACCTGAGGCACCTCCACGCTTGGTCTTCCTGCCCTTGTGGCCCTAACACCTCACAAAGCCGAAAGCTGCTTTCAGTGAAAGGTTCCATGTAAAAGCAACAGAGGACCTAAGATGAACTTTCGATGTCAACAGCTGTGGTTTCTGCAGCCCCACTAACCACACAGATGTCTGCACAGCTCCACTAACACCTACGTCTTCCTTTTGCAGGATGGCCAGAGACAATAAAAGCACGAGACCCAAATAGTCTACCAAAGTCTCCAACTCTGAGGACGTACAGAGGCACAGAGGGCTGCTCACGAGATGGCTTTAGACATTCTTGCCATGGCGCCTTTGTACCAGGTCCCCACCATCAGCAGAATAGGGCAAAAGACAGACCCCTCTAAAAGGCCGGCTGACTCACTAAAACCCTTGGTCCCTTCTAAGACCAAACTCACCACCATTGAGGCCAAAAGGATCATGTCTGTCCTGGATGAGGCGATCAACAAGGTGGAGCTGGCGACCCTGCTGTCATATGTGGCATCCAATCGAGGGGATGTGGAGGGGATGCTGGGGGAGGACATCATGAGGGCAGTGAGAGAGCACGAGGACCTCTGCCAGGTCCTCCTGGACAATGTCAAGTGCCTAAAGGAGAAAGAAAGGCAGCTGCAGGAGCAGGACGAGGCTAAGGAGGAAGGGTGGCTCAGAGACCGCCGCCTCTCCATAGAGCTGCAGAAATCCAGCCTCCCTCCACTTAGGCAGCAGATCAAAGACTCCACCAAGAATGTCCTGAGACTCTTGCTCAGCAACCCTCAAGCTGCCAGTTTCCTGCAGATGCAGACGCAGGGCAGAAGTGCAGAAGCCCAGAGTTTGATTGACAGCCTGAATGAGCTCCGTGGTTTCCTGTTTGAAAAACTCCTCACTAGTCCCATGGAAGCGAGGGACAAAGCCCAGTTCATACAGGATATCAGTAAACAGAATAGTATGAACCAACAAATCATCGATACTCTTGAAAATGAATTGACGGAGAGGATGAAGGACAGACAAGCAGAGGTATTGTTTCATAGTACTGCTGAAACTGCAGAAGGAGCCACACTGACTGGCCCCGATCTTTTTTTTTTGAGATGGAGTCTCACTCTGTCGTCCAGGCTGGAGTGCAGTGGTACGATCTCAGACTTATTTTTGATACTAATTTTTGTACTTCTAGTAGAGACAGAATTTTACCGTGTTGGCCAGGCTGGTCTTGAACTCCTGGTCTCAAGTGATCCTCCCGCCACGGCCTCCCAAAGTGCTGGGATTACAGGCGTGAGCCACCGCACCTGGCCCCCAACTTTTTCTACAAAGGGTCAGATAGTAAATACATTAGGCTTTGTGGACCAGATGGTCTTTGTTGCAATTACTCAGGTCTGCTGTTACGGGGGAAAGCAGCCATATGTAAATGAATGGACTGTGTTAGAACAAAACTTTCCCTAACAAATGCAAGTTTGGATTCAGCCTGTGGGCCATAGTTTGTCGACCCGTGTTCCAGCTGGAGGGTAGAGTGTACCTCAGTCATGAGATAGGAATAAGCCTGGCTAGTTCAGAAACCCGGAGAATGCCAGTGAGCTAGAGGGAAGGGCCAAGATAGGCTGGGAAAGCAGGGGAAGGAGACAGATCACATGGGGACTTTGAGGCCTAATCAAGGAATTTGGTCTTTAGAAGTTTTTAGTTTTAGAGACAAGATCTCGCTCTGTCACCCAGGCTGGAGTCCAGTGGCACGATCATAGCTCACTGCAGCCTTGACCTCCTGGGCGATTCTCCTGCCTTAACTTCTTGTGTAGCTGAAACTACAGGCATGCACCACCTCGCCTGGCTAATTTTTTAAATTTTTGTAGAGACGGTGTCTCACTATGTTGCCCAGGCTGGTCTCAAACTCCTGGGGCTCAAGAAATCCCCCTCCCTCAGCCTCCCAAGTAGCTATGACTACTGGCACATGCCACCATGCCTGCCTAATTTTTTTTTAGAAATGGGGTCTCTGGCCAGATGTGGTGGCTCACACCTATAATACCAGCACTTTGGGAGGCCAAAGTGAATGGATCACTTGAGGTCAGGAGTTCAAGACCAGCCTGGCCATCATGGCAAAACCCCGTCTCCACTAAAAAAAAAATACAAAAAAATAGCTGGGCTTAATGGCTCATGCCTGCAATCCCAGCACTTTGGGAGGCTGAGGCAGGTGGATCACCTAAGGTCAGGAGTTCAAGACGAGCCTGACCAACATGGTGAAACCCCGTCTCTACTAAAAATACAAAAATTGCCGGGTGCGGTGGCTCACGCCTGTAATCCCAGCACTTTGGGAGGCCAAGGCGGGTGGATCACGAGGTCAAGAGATCGAGACCATCCTGGTCAACACGGTGAAACCCCGTCTTTACTAAAAATACAAAAAATCAGCTGGGCATGGTGGCGCGTGCCTGTAATCCCAGCTACTCAGGAGGCTGAGGCAGGAGAATTGCCTGAACCCAGGAGGCGGAGGTTACGGTGAGCTGAGATCGCGCCATTGCACTCCAGCCTGGGCAACAAGAGCGAAACTTCATCTCAAAAAATAAATAAATAAATAAAAATACAAAAATTAGCCAGGCATGGTGGCAGGCTCCTGTAATCCTAGCTAGTCAGGAGGCTGAGGCAGGAGAATCGCTTGAACCCGAGAAGTGGAGGTTCAAGTGAGCCAAGATTGCGCCATTGCACTCCAGCCTTTGCAAGAGTGAGACTCTGTCTAAAATTAATAAATACATAAATAAAAGAAAATGAATACAAAAAAGAAATGGGGTCTCACTCTGTTACTCAGGCTGGTCTCAAACTCCTAGCTTAGAGATCCTCCAGCCTCCGCCTCCTGAGTAGCTAGGATTATAGGCATACCACCGTACCAGCTAGAAGAATTTTTTTTAAGAAGGGAAATGTGGGCATGGTGGCTCATGCCTGTAATCCCAACACTTTGGGTGGCCAAGGCAGGTAGATCACTTGAGCTTAGGAGTTTGAGACCAGCCTGGGTAACATAGTGAAGTCCCGTCTCTACATAAAAGACAAAATTAACTGGGCGTGGTGGTACACACCTGTAGTGCCAGCTACTCAGGAGGCTGAGGTGGGAGGGATCACTTGAACCCAGAAGGGGAGGTTGGAGGTGGCAGGGAGCTGAGACGCACCACTGTACTCCAGCCTGGGCTACAAAGAAAGACCCTATCTAAAAAAGAAAAAAGGGGAATGGTAGCATGATCCTAAACCTAGTAATAATCATCTTGGACACATACAGTGTATTTGTTTTACATACATTTTCTCTCTAAATCTTTACAAAAACGCTGTGAGATGGTGTATAAGTACAGATTTGGCTGCTATGACAGAGACACCCAAAATAGCTGTGGCTTAGTCAAGACAGCCATGTATTTCTCTGTAGTAGAAACACCGGAGCTGGTGTGGCATCTCTGCTTCCCAAGTTGTCAGGGGGTCTGGCTTCTTCGATGTGACTTCTCTACTCACCCCCACATGGGACTTCTGCCTGTGGGTCAGGATGGCTGCCCCAGCTTTCCCCATCATGTGGCCCCCGGTCCAGCCAGCAGGAAGGAGGAAAGGGGAGGAGAGGGCTTGGTTCCACCCCTTAAGGACACATGTGGAGGTCCCACACAGAACTTCCACGCACATCTTGTAGCCACACCCAGCAGAGAGAGGTGCTAGGAGGGATCGACCGCCTGTCACCCTGTTCTCCTACACATTCTAGCCCGCAGCCTCTCTGGGGAGAGCCCCCCTCTCTGGGGGCTAGCCAGGCTGCACTGCGCGGCACTTCTCTTTCTCTCCCCCACCACTGACAAGAGGTTCAAGGCACTGGCAAGCTATTCACTGCCCTCCCTCCCCCAGGCGCTAGGTTGGGCGCTTCTCACTGAATTTGTCCTTTAAAGCATTCAACTGACTTTGTGGATAACATATCTTTGTGTGATTTGTGTGGTCTTGAGAGATCTGGCTCCATAAGAAAAGGGGGACCTTGTCTCTTTCAGCCTGCCACTGTGTCCCCAGTGAGCCTGTCCAAAAGAGGGGCATGATGTATACATGCTGAGTGGACAGGTGACGGGCTTCTGGGCCCTTGGGCAGGGAGGTCACTGGTAAGGTGGGAGGAGCATCCTCTAGGAATAGGCAGAGGGACACAGGTGGCCCTGCCGGTCTCATTGGGGTGCTGGAACCCGAAGGGGCTTCACCTTGGGCTAACTTGGGGTCAGATGCCATTTTTGCCAGGTGAGCAAATTTCATGTCATTGAACCTCAGTGTACGATGAAGTAGAGACACCAATCAGGGAGGTGGTGGGGAGTCTACCAGGAGAGCTGTGACTGCTGAGCATACTCCCATGCCTGGTGCCTAGAGCCTTCATGCAGGACAGGCTTGCCCCAGAGGTGCTGCCTCCTTGCCCCCAGTGTGCAGGAAGTGAGCAGATGCCCGGCGAGCCTGCTGCCGGCTGACCCAAGCCCAAGACTGTGGCGTGAGCAGCCATAGCACCACTGTGCTCAGATGGAGACTCTAGTGTTTGTGAGAAGCCTTGAGAGCTTCTTTACAAAACTGCCTCATCCTCCACCACATTCCTCTTCTAGAATCCACCCAAGGCAGGGAACAAGCCAGGTATGGGCCCTTGAGAGACAGCCTGGTGGCAATCCCTTCAGTCAGTGTTTGTCATACACATTCATGTATCCCACCAAGTGTCTCTGCCAGCCGGGCCTCCCCTGCCGTGTCCTCAGGAGAAGCATCACTGCCGTCCCAGTCCTCCCCTGTGGACTCGATCCAACAGGCTTGTACTCTTCATTTGTGCAAAGAAACAGTGGTGGCTCCAGGTCAGACAAACCTGGCTTCAGACCCCAGCTCAGCTGGGCAACCACAGACAGATGAAGCCACCTCCTTGAGCCTCAGTTTTCTTGTCTGTAATCAGGCTATCCCTGACCTCCGTTGTGGGGTTGGCGTTATGATTAAAGAGATAACACATGTGGCATGCCCGGCCCCAAGGGAGGGTACAGTGGTGCCACCCTCTGGTGACTGTCAGTGGGCATGGAGGTGTTTTTTTCTGAGATAGAATCTCACTCTGTCACCCAGGCTGGAGTGCAGTGGTGTGATCTCTACTCACTGCAACCTCCACTTCCCATGTTCAAGCGAATCTCCTCTCAACCTCCTGAGTAGCTGGGCTTACAGGCGCTCACCACCACGCCCAGCTAATTTTTGTATTTTTAGTAGAGACAGGATTTCATCATGTTGGCCAGGCTGGTCTCAAACTCCTGACCTCAGGTGATCCACCCACCTCAGCCTCCCAAAGTGTTGGGATTACAGGCATGAGCCACTGTGCCCGGCTGGGCATGGAGGTATTAACGGAGCCCTTTCTCTTCCTGGCTCAGATGGAAAAGGAGAACTTTGTGATCCAAGAACTGAAAAATCACTTGCACCAGGTGCTCAAGTTCTCAGAAAACAGCCTCCTTCGCACTAAGCAGGAGGCCGAGAAGCAGCAGAGGGCCGACTTCCGCGCGTCGCAGGCCAGGGTGGCCAAGATCCAGCAGGAGATCCTGCAGCTGCAGTCACAGGTTTTCAGCCTGGTCATGGAGAACCGGGAGGCGGAGCAGGCGCTGAGGAAGGTGCCAGGGGAAGCAGGGAGGATGGGCCAGTGGGGTCCCTGGGGCAGGGGAGGGGTGGGACTGTACCGTCACTCCTGGAGGTCCAGCAGTCTTGGGCAGGGCAGGGCAGGGCAGGGCTGCACTGGCTACTCAGGAAGCAGCTTGGTGGAGGGGAAGAGCACAAGAGCAGGGAAGGCCCAAACCTAAGCCAGTGTCCCCTGGGAGGCAGGAGGGGCAGCACACAGGCCTGGGGATGGGGGACAGAGAAACTGGGACCCTGTCCCAGCGTTGCTGCGTGGCCCTAGGCAAGTTCCTCAACTCTTCAGACCCCACAAGGATGATACCCACATCATCGGAGGCTGGTGCCGTGCAAAGGAATAAAGAAGTAGTACGTGGAGCTCAGGGAAATTACACAACTCCCACCCAGCTGCCAATTTCACACCTCGGAAACGAAAATGCTAACATTGGTCTTCATGGTTGTTACATGGGATGGTAGTGAGAGAGCTGGTGCATAGTAGGTGTTCAATAAATATCATTTCTGGCTGGGTAAGGTGGCTCATGCCTGTAATCCCAACACTTTGGGAGGCTGAGGCTGCAGTGAGTTGTGATCGCACCACTACACTCCAGCCTGGGCAACAACAAGACCCTGTCTGTACAAAAAATAAAAGATAAATTAGTCAGGCGCTATGGTGTGTGCCTATAGTCCCAGCTACTTGGCAGGCTGAGGCAAGAGAATTGCTTTAGCCCAGGAGTTTGGAGGCTGCAGTGAACTATGACCACTCCACTGCACTCCAGCCAGGGCAACAGAGGGAAACCTTTTTTTTTTAAAAAAAAAAAAAAAAAAAAATTATCTCCATTTGCCTTCTCCTTTATCATCTCATCTAAGACCGAGGCCTAGCACACATCCAACTTCCAAATCTTTTTCCTCGTAAAAGGCACCCTTTCTAATACTTGTCCCCAGTCTCTTAGTGTCACACTCTAGAGCATCTGATGGAAGCCTTTGGCCTCTCCCCCAGAAAGAAGGCACAGATGCACATACACATCCTGGTAGACAGTTCCCCGGGGAGCCCAGGCCCCCTGAAGCCGGCCTACCCATGG